AAAACCCCAGTGGCTCTTTGAGCTTTGAGCCAAACTTGCAGCCTGAGCAGAGATGAAAACAAGGAAGGTGTGAGCAGAAAAGCTGCGTTTTCTCCCTGGGCTCCTACCTGAGTGATGGGTGAGAGGGGGGACAGCGTGGGGGACATCTGCTGGGACTGGGGCCGCCGGGAGTCCGTGCCCAGGGACAGGGGGCTCACGCTGGGCTGGCGGTGCTGGGACGGGGCTGGCGTCGTGGTCATCCCTGCTGGCAACAACAAACCACCCTGAGCAGGGACACACAGGGCCCTGTGCCATCTGCACCCCAAAGAATTCCCAAAATCAGGGAAAAAAGAGTGGCCTGAGCACACAGCGGCCACCGAGCCCGATGGAGCAGGAGCTCGAGGGGTGCTGGAGTCACTCAGGAGTCTCTGAATCCTTCCAAGAGAAATTAAAGTGCCAAGATTAAATTCAAACCTGCAGGTGGATTGAAGTATGTTAAACCACTCACACATCAAGATAAAATGTAAGTTTTAGTGTAAGCAAGCAAGTAAATAAATAAATAGAGTAAGGTTTAAGTGCTTTTAGTAAGAACTCTTAAATCCCAGTATAAAAGCCCGAGTTCTAATAAAAATTTAAAAACATAGTCCTAGATACTAGTGTTTGTGTAAAAGCTCCAAAAACCTAGCTTCAAACATAATAAAATTACAGTTAAAAATATACCTTGCATTTTTCAGTTACAACAAAACAAGCCATGTACACAGTTTATACATAGCCTGGTGTGCTAAAAACCTAAAATCTTAGTAAGTTAAGAAATAATAATCCAAGTTTGCATCTTAACTTGTTAGGAAGTTTCTATAAAAGAACATGGATCAGAAAAAAACTAGTGCTTTATGCCTTTGCTTTGGGCCATTCATTTTGCCATTGCTTTGTGCCATTGCATTTTGTCACTGCATTTTGTCACTGCATTTTGTCACTGCATTTTGTCATTGCATTTTGTCACTGCATTTTGTCATTGCATTTTGTCACTGCATTTTGCCATTGCTTTTAATGCCACGTGCTTTTATCATTGCTTTGCTTTGCTTTTGCTTTGCTTTTGCTTTAAAGCTAATGTGCTTCTGCAATAAATGACTTTGTAGCAGCTATTAACTTCCTTGGCTCATGGAAGAAAACAAGGCAAGTTGGGGACCCAAGAGCACCTGAAGAGCTAAGCTCACAGGCAGGTGATCTGTAATTAATTTTATCAGGTTGGAGAGCACCAGGATGAGAGGAAGAGCCCTGTGGGATGGCCTGGCTCGAGCCCAGGCAGGGCTCTGGTCAGGCTGAGAGTGCTGAAAACACAAAATCCCACAATGATTATCTGCTGGTGCTTTTATTGAAGAGCTCTGGGGATCAGGGGTGCAGACCCAAACCTGACATGGATCCCACATGAACATGTTTTTATACCCTTTTCATTATATAACTCAATATTAATTATTAAACCCATATTGTTCTAGTGTATACTATATATATATTGATCTTATCCAAGCATGAATTCCTGTAATTTTCATCAGGCCCCCCAAATATCCTTCCTCATGGTTCTTGCTACAATTGCATCTTTTGTCATTGTTCTTATTATGATTAAACAATAATTATATTCAATTAGCAAACAATGGTCACATTTAACAATCACATCATTTCTCACATGATGATCATGCAGGTGTAGCTTCACCTGATCTGGAAATAAACAAAGCTCAAAATTCGTTCCTGGTTATAGTTAATAACAGAATATTATATAATATAATATTAGTTCCCTTTCCCAGCCCTACCAGACCCAATTTTCCTTCCCACCCCCCTGGATGTAGTGGATGCAGTTCCTGTGATTTTTAGGAATATTTTTAACCCCGTGCTGTCAGGGCTGGGGGGCAGGAGGAGGAACTGGAAGAGGCAGAGCAGGCTCAGCCCTGCAGGCCCAGCCCAGGCTCTGCTCTGTTTGTCTGGGAATGGGATAACAGATCCTGGAACCTGCCTTATCTATCCCAGGTATTGTAAAAACAAACCCCTTTTTAATGGCCAAAGCTGCAGCTGAAGTGGTTCCACAGGAAGAGCCCCGTTCCTGATGGCAAAACCAGGGCACGAAATTCCCACCACACTCCCAGAGCCACGAGCACAAACAACCCCAACCTTGACATTTTTTATTCTGATCAAGGCACAAAATGTGGGAGTTTGGAAAGGTGCTCCCAGAGTGGCCCTGGGCAGGGATGTGAGGCCAGGAGAGCTGGGGAGGGGAAGCTTTGACAGGGAGGTCTCACACATGTCCTGTCAGTGTGACAGGAAAATCTCGGAATGTGAAACCTGAACGGGGAATGGAAATGATAACAAGTTTTGATACAGCAGAAAAAAACTGCTGAGCCACTCTGGGTAACTAGAAAGCAAAGTGAGCTGGAAGTTTTTATAGCTCAAAGCAAAGGATAAATCCACCTCAAACAAAAGATGTTTTTACCAAGCAAAAAGATTTTCACAGACAAACAAGAAAGCCAATGGTGCAAGTAAAGATCTCAGAATTCTCCACTGCAAAAAAAACTAAAAAACAACTTCTGGCTTAAACTGTGACACACTGACCTTTTGTGATTAAAAAACCAGGAACATGAAAATGGAAATGTTAGCAGTTAGGACAGGCTATAGGTAATAGTAAAAGTATTGATTGGTTGTCATGTATTAAAATGCTCTGTAATAAAAAGTAAATAATGCATTGTAACCAGAACTAGAGTCAGCTTCAAATAAACCCACAGCTGAAAAGGCTGTGGGCTGGGCTCTGCCACCACAACTGTGAACTGATATATCCTTTGGATATAACAATCAGCATTTTAAATAATCAATAAATTGCTGTATCATTTGGATTTAATAAAGAGAATTCCAAAGAGCCCCCTGGAGCCCTGCACCCCCCGTTTTTGGCTCTTACAAAAAAACTTTTCCAAGGATGCTGGAAAAAAAAATCCTTTCAATGGTTAAATCCTTTTCTTTTTCCCCAACTCACCTGCAGCCACAACCTGATTTCATTTCCTTCTCCCAATCCAGGAGAAAGGGAATCCTGCCCAGCACAGGAAATAGATTTGTATTTTTGGATACAACTCCTCATTTCTATTCTAGGAACCAACAGACTTGCAACTGTCGCTGGTAATAATAAAATAAATCAATCTTCTTCATAACTATTTGAGTATCAGTGAAATCAGTTAAAAAATAGAAAATAAGAATTAAAATATTTACCAATAATAGACTCCAAAAGGATCCTCACATAAAAATAAATGCAGTTCTAAAGGAATGGAAATAAAAGGGTTGCTGGAAATATTCCCATTACACAAGGGATGCTGGGGAATTCCAAGAGAGGAGAACTCCAATCTCATACATTTAAAAAACCCCATATATATACATATATATACACATGTACACCCATATATATGTGTATATGTATGTGTGTACATAAATATATGTATATATCCCAAAATAAATCCCAAAAAAGCAGATTTGGGCACCAAGAACACTATATACAGATATATCTATACCCCAAATAAATCCCAAAAAATCAGCTTTGAGCACTAACAATGTGCCATAAGCCCTGGAAGTGTCCCAGTGTGCTCAGCCTGGCTGGCAGTGCCAATGCCCAGGTGGCCCAGGTTGGCAGCAAATCCCAAAAAAGCAGATTTGGGCACCAAGAACACAACATACACATATCTATACCCCAAAAATCAGCTTTGGGCACCAAGAACAATGTGTATATATATATCCATACCCCCTAAAATCAGCTTTGGGCACCAAGCCCATGAGATAAATGCCCTGGAGGTGTCCCAGTGTGCTCACCCTGGCCTGCAGCACCGATGCCCAGGTGGCCCAGGTTGGCAGCCAGGTTGCCCGTGCTGCTGGAGCTGCTCAGGGCAGGGAAGGGAGACTCCTCGGGGTCCAGGGGCGTGGGCAGGGGGGATGGGAAGTGGATGTTGGTGAGGTCGGGCAGGGAGCCCCCCGTGCTGTGAGCCCCGGGGATCAGGGCCGAGCTGCTCTCCTGCTCTGCCGAGGGGAAGATGCTGCAGGAAAGGGGGGGAAACAAAGAAAAATAAACAGAATTAATGCATGGTTCACGTGGGAAAAAGCTTCTCAGAATGGGTTTAATCAGAAAATTTCTATCAGATTCCTGAGATTTGTAAAATTTATTTGACGAGAGATTCCGTAAAGGAGGTTTTTTGAGAGTTTAAAAAAGTATTTGACAAGAAAATGTCATTAAGAAGGCAATTTAGAGCTTTTTACAATGTGTTTAGTGAGAAAATTTCATTAAGATTTTTTAGCTTTTAAAAATTTCATTAACAAGAAAATTTCATTAAGACAATTTTTTTGAGGTTTTAGAAGTGTATTTAACATGAAAATCTCATTCCGAAGAATTTCATTCAGATTTTTTAGCTTTTTAAAATTTATTTAACAAGAAAATTTCAGTAAGAAGGTATTTTAGAGATTTTCTTAATGTATTTAACGAGGAATTCCATAAAGAAGATTTTTTTTGAGCTTTTAAAAATGTTTTTATCAAGGAATTCTATAAAGAAGATATTTTTGAGCTTTTTAACAAGAAAATTTCATCAAGAAGATTTTTTGAGCTTTTAAAATTATTTTCAACAAGGGATTCCATACAAAAGGTGGTTTTGAGCTTTTAAAATGTTTTTTTTAACATGAAAATTCCATAAAGGAGATATTTCTGAGCTTTAAAAAAAATGGATTTAACGAGGAATTCCATAGAAAAGATATTTTTAAAAATATTTTTAAGGAGAAATTCCATCAATAAGATTTTTTTTTTGTATTTCTGACCCTCAGAGGCTCCTGTTCCATCCCTAGAACCTGCCCAGAAAATATAAAAGCACCAGGATATTTTAGGATATTTAAGGATTTTTAATCCACAATTTTCCTTCAGGATCTCAGTGCTCTCAGAATAAATTATTGCTGGGAACTCACTTGATTCCTGGAACTTCACAGGATTTGGGTCTCGATGACCCAGTCTGGAAAAAAAACAAAAAAAAAAAAAAAGGGGAGAAAGATTTAAATGCAAAGATTCTGCTTGGAGGGAATTGTCTCAGAGATATTTCAATGAATAAATTGAATTTCATCATTTCTGTGCAAGATCTGGCAGCTTTAAGAAGATATTTATCAATTTTTTTATTTTTTTTTTGCTTTATTGGCTCAATAAATCTTAAATTTCAAGTTTCTCATGTGACCAAGCCTGGGCATTCACACACATGAAATGATGAAATTATGAAAGAATTTCTACTCAAAGTTTATTTTTCGTTTTTAATCACAGCAGCTGATCAATCTTGACAGTGACTAAAGCACTCATTTCTTTAAATATGTTCAGAAAATAAAATTTTCTGTGCTTTGAAAGGAGCAATTCTCACCTTTTTAGTGTCCCAGCCTTGCTTGGAGAGGGTTTTGTCTGCATCAGAGGAGGTTTCCTCCATTCCAGGGACAGTCAGCAATAAAACTAAAAAAAAAAAAACCCAAAAAACAAAATAAGGGATCATTAATAATCAATAATTAATAATCAATAATATTCAGCTTCTCACTGAGACATTCTTGGATTGGAACTTTAACCTTTGGGAAAATGTTACAAAGTTTAAATTGTCAAAAAGGATGAAAGAGTTTCTGTTGGTTCAAAAACCCAAAGATTCCTGAAACTAGATAAAAAAATTAATAAAAATGTAAAATACAATACAATACAATAAAATAAAATAAAATGCAATACAATACAATACAATACAATACAATTCAATTATTAAATAAGTGAGACTTTTAAAAAAAGCCACCCAAATAATATTTAAAAATGTTTTGGCTTCCAATTCATTGTGTTTAGATGCCCATGGAAGGGTTTCTTTGGCAGCTGCTGTTTCCCATTTTTTGCAATTTGCACAAATGATGAGGACCCTGAATATCCAAAGGGCTTCCAAGGGGCCAATTCCAGTGGGGAAAATCCAAATTCCTCCTCCTGGGATGGAGAAACAGCACAAAGCTGGAACTTCATTCTCCACATGCCAAGGATATTTTCTTTCTTGCTTAAGGTGGCAAAGAAACAAACAAAAAACCCCCAAACAAACAAGAAAAAAAACCCCAACAAAATAAAAAAATAATAAATAAATAAAAATTTAGAAACCTTTTCAAAGCCCAGCCAGAGAGAGATGAATTAATAAAAACCTCTCACAGCCATGAGTGTAAATCCAGATTTCTGGAATCCTGGACCTGCCTGAAGGATTAAATTTAGGAATTTTCCTCAGGATGAGGGAATTTTAAGGTTGGAAAAGACCTCGAGGATGAAAATTCCTGATTTTGCTGAGCTGGAGCAGGACCAGGGCCAACAGAGGCTCCAGAAAGGAGGGGCAGAGATTTGTTCTGGGATTGTTCTGGGATTTGTTCTGGGATTGTTCTGGGATTGTTCTGGGATTTGTTCTGGGATTGTTCTGGGATTGTTCTGGGATTGTTCTGGGATTGTTCTGGGATTGTTCTGGGATTTTTTCTGGGATTTTTGCTGGGATTGTTCTGGGATTGTTCTGGGATTTGTTCTGGGATTGTTCTGGGATTGTTCTGGGATTGTTCTGGGATTGTTCTGGGATTTTTGCTGGGATTGTTCTGGGATTTTTGCTGGGATTGTTCTGGGATTTTTGCTGGGATTGTTCTGGGATTTTTCTGAATGTTGGGGATATTTCCTGGGTACACTCCCAGCCATAAACCCTGGGCTCCAGCCTCTGCTCCTCCCGGGGTGTCCCTGACTGAAGCCCTGGGGATTCCAGGCTGCTCCAGCTGAGAACTCAGCAGCAGCCCAGGGGATCTCCCCAGGGCACCAATGACAAAATCTGGGGGCTCAGCAAAATGTCCCCCCTTTGGTTTGTGTCCTTTTTCCTGGAATTCAGCCCCCAGAAAGCTGAATGTGATCCAATTCTGTTCAATTTTACAATTTTACAAACACATGGAGCCCAATCCGTGGCGATTCCATTGTCAGAAATCTTTTTATCTTTTTTTTTTTCCTGCTCACCTCTTTTCTGCTGCATGTCCTGTGACCCTCCAGAAAAGGATTCCTGCTGAGCTGGAGTCATGGTGCTCTGGTGCAAGGCAGAATCAGAATTTGTCCTGAGAGAAAGGAAAACCCATAATTATTTTTATTGTCAGCTTCACTAAATAAAAAATTCCCTCTCAGATAAAAAGCAACCACTCGGTAAAACCTCAATATTGTGCATTAAAACCCCCAAATCTCTACATGGCAGAAACCAGGCAGGATTTCCTGGTGAAAATCAATTTGCAGAACAAATCAGTTCAAGTTTGAGGAACAATTGTTTCAATAATGGGATTGAGAGGAACACAGGATGAACTGGGTGCCCCTGTTAGAACAGAGTTTGATCTGCTTGGTTCAGATTAAACATGATCCAAAAATGCCCTTTTTAAGCTGTTTAGCCATACTTTAGTTATTGTTTGGTTATTATTCCCAAACATTCCTGGCTGGGAGGAGGAAGAGGAATGGTTCAGGATCTTGTGGAGATGGGAATTTTCGAGGCCAAAACATTTCAGGATGAACTTTGTGATTGTGACCACTCCCAAAAAGTGAAACTCTGTGTTCCTTCCCACTGGAACATCCCCAGTCCAATTTCTGCACCCACAGAAATATCCAAGTCTTGGGAATTATCCAAGCCTGGCAACTGCTGGATTTGTAAAGATTTTTAAGGATATTGAAAGATGAAACTTTAAGGATTTACCTTTAAAAAAGCACCATTCAATTCAAGTATCACTTGCAGACACCTTACCTTCAAAGCTCATTTAAAATGAGCACAATTGAATTAAAAACTCCATTTCTGAATTTCAAAAGGCACAATTCCAACCTGCTGCAGCTGGAGGTGCTGCAGTGCCACAGAACAGCCCAAACACCTCTGGGTGCTGGCACCCAAATCCCCAGAATGGCACCCAAACCCTCCAGGATGGCACCCAAACCCCTCAGGATGGCACCCAAACCCTCCAGGATGGCACCCAAACCCCCAGGGTGGCACCCAAACCCTCCAGGATGGCACCCAAACCACCCAGGGCGGCACCCAAACCCCCCAGGGCGGCACCCAAACCCCTCAGGGTGGCACCCACCTCCTCCAGCTGGTGTCTGATGGTGGTGACAGGTACACGGTGCCATAGGGACAGCTGTCCACGTGAGGCAGGGTTAAGGCAGCAACACTTCCCACTCCAGCAGGGAATCTTTCCCCAGAAGAATTCCAATTATCCTGTCAGAAGCACTGAGCTCACAGATTTTCTATGGGGAAGTGTAAAGGGATCTCGACCCAAAGTATTCTGTGATTGTTGGAATAAGTGAGCAGGAAAAATCCTTTCCTCCTTTTGCAAGGATTTCACTCCTGGGGTCCCCTCCAGCCCCATCAATGCCAGCAGATTTCAGATTTCCTGTCAGCAATGATCAGCTCGTTCCATCCCCAAATGCCACACGGATGAACCAACCTGCACTGAAATGATAATCCTGCCCTGGCTCTGCTCAGCCCTGAAGGGAAACTCCATTTCCCCAGGGAACCACGGGATGGTTTGGGCTGGAATGGAATCCAGGATCCAGAGCTGGCAGTCAGGCTGCACCCAGTGCCATGCCCGTGTCACCACTGAGTGTCCCCAAACCAACACCACCTGTCCCTGGGGTCCACCTGGACACTGACCCTTTGGACAATCCATGCAGCCAACTGCTGATCCAGTTAGGACACGAGGATGTCCCATGGACAGAGCCAAGAGCTCACTGGCAGCAGCCCCATCAGAGAGGGCCACCAAACTTCCAGGGCACCTCTGGCCTGAGTGACACCTGCTGGGTGTCCCCAGCCCACCCAAGCATCCCCAGGGAAAGCTGAGCAAAGCTGGACTCCCACTCACAAACAGGAGGTTTTGGATTAGAAACAGGATTTTCACAGCTTGGGAAAGGCAGTGACACAGAGCTGGGAGGTGACTCCAGCTGGGTGAGGACAGGAGGAAAAGGGAACTGAGCCCACTGCAGGCAGGGCTGAGGTGGGACAGTGGTGCCAAGGATGGGTTCAGAGGGCACAGAGGTGCCAAGGATGGGCTCAGAGGGCACAGAGGTGCCAGCCCTGGTGCCAAGGATGGGTTCAGAGGGCACAGAGGTGCCAGCCGTGGTGCCAAGGATGGGTTCAGAGGGGATAGTGGTGCCAGCCGTGGTGCCAAGGATGGGTTCAGAGGGCACAGAGGTGCCAGCCCTGGTGCCAAGGATGGGTTCAGAGGGGACAGAGGTGCCAGCCCTGGTGCCAAGGATGGGTTCAGAGGGCACAGAGGTGCCAGCCCTGGTGCCAAGGATGGGCTCAGAGGGCACAGAGGTGCCAGCCCTGGTGCCAAGGATATCTGCCTGCCGTGCTTGTCCACGGACAGGGGGCGCCGGTGCGGCGAGCCCAGGCGGTTCCGGTCCCGGTACACTCTGTCCACCAGCCCGTGGTGCCGCGTGGTCCTGCTCGTGTCCAGCGCCGACGACTGGAACGGGGTCTGGGAGAGACACAGGAATTACCCCCAGGGAAAGAGCCCGAGCCTGCCAGGGCCTCCTCCAGCTCCTGTGCCAGGCTGGGCCGCTCTCGGGAATCGCTCTCAGGACGCCGGTGGTGTGTCATTTCGGTTTTCCCCTCGGATAAGGTTTTTGGGCAGCTGCCTCCTCCAGGAGGGGCCATGCTGGAGCTGCCCTGAGCCCCGGCCGAGGTGGCAGGAGCTGGCGGCTGCTGTGCACATGCCCTCGCTGCAGCATGCAGGGCACAGCCAGCACGAACATGCTGCATCCAGAGCTGAGCCCAGCGCTGCCCAGGACACGGAGCCTGCCCCTCACCCCTCCCTGCGGCTGAGTTACTGTAAGGGGACACCCAGAGAATGACAAGAAAAAGAAAAGCAGTTTCCTTCCTCTTCTGTCTGACGGTTTGGAAGTGATTTCCAGCTCCTTCAGTGAGCCGAGGTGGGATGATCCCACCTGGACTCTTATCAGCACTGACATCCTGAGCAGATGATTTCAGAGCAGGAGGATGGCAGGGGAAGGAAGGACAGGGAAGATGAATTCCCAGGCTAAACTGGAAAACTTTCACATTTTCCACAGCCCTTCCCAGCGTGTACCTGGGGGGGGACAGAGGAAGTACCGAGGGGTCAATCTGTGCTCGTACTCCAGCAGCAATTTATGGGTCTCCAGGGAGAAAAATCCTCCCCAGCCTTGCACTCCCTGCCAATGTGAACAGCTTTGCCGAGTCCCTCAACACCATCTGTTTGGAAATCCAAAATTTCCTCCTCCATTCAGGTGCTGCACGTGGCAAATGCACTGTCCTGTCTGCCAAGCCATGAAACCATCTGGCTTCCACATTCATCCCTTTTTTCTTTTTTTTTTTTGGCTTTTTTTGTTTCCAAGTGTCAGCTTCGGCTGTTGAAAAGATTATTTCTATAAAGCTTTGCATTTATTTTGAAAGGCTTTGTTTGTATGAACTTTTTAAAGAGCCTTTCTACTATTTTAAACTCTTTTCTCTTCAGCAAATATTGGGCTCCTCACCCTCTCTGCACACACAGGCTGTGCTAACAGAGCTGCAGAGGGGCTCTGGTGTTTATTTTCTCATTTCAGGGCCAACATTTTATATGCAGCAGAATATTTAAGGCAACAGGGGACTAGAAAGGAGCACAGTGACTTTTCACAGGACTCTCAGCACTTCAGTTCATGGGGTTTGTGCTTCACTTCCTCACTTGGCTGAGAAATCTCAAATAGAATCTCAATTTTAAGGCTTTTAAATTCAAACACGGTGCTTTAATCCACACAAGTGGGAATATTCATCATTCCAAAGCCACAAAAGGTCTCAAACTCCTCCTTTTTTTCTGTTGTTACAGCCCAAAAGGCAGCAAAATTTGCAAATACGTGCTTGGAAGGTCAACAGGAAAAGCAATTTCCTATGTCAGTGGTGTCAGCACAGTGCTGCTAAAAAAGGAGCAGCCAGCCCAGAGCACAGGGAGTGCAGAGCTCACCTGGAATTTAAAGGGAGACCAAACCATAAAACTATAAAGACAAAAAGTTCCGTGTAAAAACAGATATTTTTTAGGTTTTTATTTTTTTTTTGGGGGGGGCATAATTTCCTTATTAAAAACAAAATAAAAATCTCATTTGAGTGCAGCAGTGGCACAAATGACCCAGGAATGTGTCCCAGCTCAGGGCTGCAGTTTCTAGAAAAGGGGATTTTTGGGGCAAGGCTGCTCCCTGGTTTTCCAGGAACCAAGATCCCAAAAGAATCCTGGATTTAGGGAAATAAAAAACACCTGAGGAAATGTTTATCACTTCCAACAGGTCTGGCTTGGCTTCTCCCAGCAACCTTCCTGTCAAATTTATTTAGGGCTAAACACCAGAACAATGTTCCTGGATTAAAATTCCCCATCTCTGCATGGCATGAGATTTTTAACTATAGGGGGAAAAAATGGATTTAAAAAAAAAAAAGGAATAGATCTGAGCATCGATTTTATTTGGGGAAAATGAAGAATTGAAAAGGTTTCACTCCCCTGAAAAGCATTCAAGGGTTTGAGAGCAGACCCCAAAGCCCTCAAAGCATGGAAAAAGCAGCTCAATGCAGACAGGAAGGAAAAAGCTCTCCAAGTGTCCTTTTAGGATTGCTCAGGGGGAAGGAGGAGTGGTACCCACTGCTGGTTGGTATTTTGGTGCCTCCTGGTGCCAAGCAGGATTTGGGAATTCATTCTGCCCTTCCCCATGGATTGAAACATGCAGGCTGAGTGCACATGCTCAGAGATTGCTGAAACCACAGGCCAAGACTGAATAATCCACTAGACAGTGGAAACCCCCCCAAAAAACCCCAGAAATAACCACATGACAGCAAGTCCAGGGGAGTCTGCACAGGAATTCTTTGCATGTTCCAGACCGGGATGCAGGGCCAAAACCTGGCTTAGTGTGGCAGCCCTGAGGAGCTGGGGGTGAACCAGATCAGTGCAGAGCAGGGCACAGGGTGTGCAGAAATACGTATCCACCTGGGCAAACGGGACCAGTCCTAAATACGTATTTGCACAAACCTAAAAACTTGTTTACCAAAGAGACAGGAACTGCTCCAAAGGCTTCAGCCACAGCTCCGTTGTGCTGCAAATCAAAGAAGCAGAAGATGCTCAGACACCAAGGCTCTGCCTTCACACCAGCCCAGAGCTGCTTTGAGCTGCAAAAACCTGGAAAGCTTCTCCCCCTCCCTGCTACAAACACTCAGGATGGTTTGGTTGATTGTCAGCAACATCGATTTGGGTTTTTTAAGTTTTTTTTTTTTTTTTTTAGCGCGTGTGTAAAAAAATACAGAAAACCCCAGGGTTTAAGGTTGAGTTCGTTTCCGTCTCCTCCTCCAGTCATTCATAAATTTTTCAATATTCCCTTTTCAGCAGTCAGGATTAAAAGAGTCCAGGTAAAAAACCACCATCAAGCAAGCACAGAAATATTATTGTTTAAAAGGAATTCTTCACCTCCTTAACAAACAGCTAAGGAGAAAAACCTGGACAGAGTGGAGTGACACTGAGGACTTCAATCCTCTACAAACCTCTGCTCTGGATTCCCCAAAGAATTCAAGATTAAAATAGATTTTGCCTCTCCTCCTGCACAAGATTCAAGCCTTTAACCTGCCCAAATTCAGCTGTCTGCACCTATTTGAAGAAGCAGTTAGAGGAGGTCAGCGAGAGTTTCTCCATTTTTATTAAGCAGCCTCCATCAGAAAACCACAAACTGCAAAATTTCCTTCCCACCACATCCTCCAGAGTTCAGCTGTAACTGTGACTGCTCAAAAAAGGAAAATCATTGCAGAAATGTTCATTATTTGGAGCACTCTAAATCAATTAAATGTGAAAAATCAGGAGTCCACAAAGGATCCACCAACTAATCCTGTCTTTTATTTATACAACACTTATTTTACAATATCCTCTGTCCAAATATGCTTCAAACAGCAAAATATTCACCTGAAATTCTGATTTTCTGTTTAAGGTGCATCATCCCTGGAATTACAAAACCCAGCCAGGACATTCTTACATTTCCTTTCCAACCAGACCAAAAAAAAAAAAGGGATTATTCTGATACCACTTTGTGTCCCACTGCTCTTCTCCTCTCCCAAAATTCCTCCCACAGAACATGCACATCAATTCCTGCACTCTCCAGCTCCCAACACCACCTTTATTTCCTCCCATTTCCTTTGAATTGACAGCATCTTCCCAAATTTCATTAGGAATTGCATCTCTCAGACTATTCCTGACCCCAAAGCCTCAAAACCAGGGACAGGAGAGCTAAAATTTACCACAATCAATATTAAAAAAAATAGTAATAATAATAATACCCACACATCCCAAATTTTTAAACCAGGCTGCTGACTTCTGGACCAGCAGCTGCCTGTGAGGACACAGCAGCATGCCAGCACAGAATGGATCAGAAAATGCAGGAAAAGCCCTGTGAACTCACCTGGAAAGGGAGATCCATGGCACTGTTCCCAATCTGATTCACATTTGGCAATGACCCCCCGTAGTACTGGCCACGACTCTGCCCCAGTTGCAAATATTGGGTTTTCTGCAGCTGTAGCTGAAAGAAAAGGAGGAGGAAAATGCAATTTCAAGTGTTCTAACCAGCACAAGCTGACACTGTGATCACTGAGAATGGGAAGCATTAAAGGGCATCAATCCAACTCTGACAAAGGAGCCTCCACCTTCTCCACGAGTTTCTTGCAGCAGGAAAAGCCCTGGAGAAAGGGCAGGGAGAGATTTCCAGGGACAAGGCAGAGCCAGGTTTGCAAACAAAGGACACAGAGGTTTCCACAGAAAAATCCCTTCAGCCAAGGAAGAATCAAACCCCCACGAGAACTCCCTGGGGGACAGGGACACGTGGAAATGAAGGGGATGATCTGCAAAGCTTCACTCAAATCCAGGGGTGGCTCTCCAGGAAAACATTCCAGGGGTTTGCCCAGAGTTGGAGACGTTTCTGGATGTTTACACGGGATGCTGAGGGGACCTCAGGGATGTTCTGGGATGTTCAGGGATGCTCAGGGATATTCAGAAATGCTCAGAGATGCTCAGGGATTTTCAGGAATGTTCAGGGATGCTCAGGGATGCCCAGGTGAGCTCAGTGGTGCTGAGGAATGCTCAGGGATTTTCTGGGATATTCTGGGATGCTCAGGGATTTTCAGGAATATTCAGGGATGCTCAGGGGAGCTCAGTGATGCTCAGGGATTTTCAGGAATGTTCAGGGATGCTCAGGGATATTCTGGGATGCTCAGGGATTTTCAGGAATGTTCACAGATGTTCAGGGATGCTCAGGAATGTTCAGGGATATTCAGGGATGCTCAGAGTGCCCTGACCACACTGCCAGCACTCAGACAGGACACAGAGAACAAGCCCAGCCTGTTCATTCCATGCCAACACTCTGGGGAGTATCCACGCAGGATCACAGAATTCCAGAATGATCTGGGCTGGAAGTGACCTCAAGGATCATCTCATGTCACCCCTGCCACCACCCCAGGCTGCTCCAGCCTGGCCTTGCACATCCCAGGGATGCAGGGGCAGCCACAGCTGCTCTGGGAATTCCAGGCCAGGCAGGAATTTCATATCCAAATAGTCCCTGAATAAAAGCTCACCCTGAGGACAGCTCACGCATTTTCCTGACATCCAAACAATTCCTAGAAAACTCAAATACTTTTTATTCCCAGAATTTCCCCCAGAAGCCACCAATTTCCACCAGCACAGACAGTTAAAAATCTCTGTGCTTGAGCTGAGGGACCAAACTAATCCCTGATTTAGGAGATGAAACTTTTCCATGAAGAACAGAATCCCAGGATCACTGAGGTGGGAAAACAGCTCCAAGATTTGCCAGAGTGCAAGGGCAAAACACCACCCACAAAGGCTGCTGGAAGGTTTTTTATTTCCTTAAAAAAAGGTCAGATAATCCCTTCAGGCTGAAGATTTATAAAATATTCCCAGATTTCCCTATCAAATGGCTTGGAAAGATCCCATGTAAGGAGCAGGAAAGGCCTTTTTGCTTTTCTTGTGCAATATTTTGCCACGCAATTCCTGAGGCAAGACGTGAAATTAGAGAAACCTTGTGCTGGTATCACTTAATGAGTCACAGCCCTCCCAACTCACAGCACAAAAAGCACAATATCAGAACTAGCTGTGCTTTTTCCCTGGCCCCTGCATATGTTTTTGTTGTTTAAAAAAAAAAATTTAAATAAAAAAAAAAAGGCTTGTTTGGGATTTGGGCCAAACATTGAAGTAACTATTTCAACAGGTGTTGGTTTCCTTTCAAGAACCTCCAAAAAGCACCCAGGGAGGAGGGGGTGGCTTGGGTGTTTTTTTTAAGGATTTCGGAGTTTTGTTTGTTTTTTTTTTTTTTTTCTCTCAGGATATTCCCACCTCAAAGCAGCAGAGCACAGAGAGCTCAGGAAGATTTGTGTCTGTGCTGCTCCCCCATGGAAATGGGGAGCTCAAGCTGCTCCTCGCCTTTGGCTGCATCATTAATTTGAGCGAGGATAAACACTGGTGGAGAGCTGTGCCAAAAACGAGAGCAGTGATTGCTGCTCCTTGCTCCCATCCATCAGCACAGCAGGGAGAGCTGGGCTGGCTGCTCTGCTCGGCTCCTGCCTTTCAGGACAGAGTGGCCCCCAGACTCCACATTTATTGGAGCCCATCAACAACTGCCACTTGCAATCTGGGAAGATCAAGTGGAAGCAGAGCAGGATTTGTGTCCTGAGCGCCTCCCAGCTCTGCTTTTTGAGCTGGAAAAGAAAATTGGGTTGAATTTTAGGAGCTTGTTGTCATTGAAGCAGGAAATCAGGAGTGAAATCAGCTCTGGGTTTTTTCCTTCTCAGAAAAACAACAACAACAAAAAAAGTTGCAAATTTCTCTCAGCGCACCAAAATCCAGAATAAAAGTTTGGGAATATTATTTAATTCCACTCCACACCTTCCACTATCCCAGGTTGCTCCAGCTTGGCCATGGACACTTGCAGGGATGGGAAATCCACAATTTCTCCGGGCAATTTGTCCCCACCCTTTAGGAAAACAGATGCTGTGCCTAAAATGAAATTTCATTTTCCTCTCCATCCACCCTGCGAGGTGGAGCAGGCACACGGCACCACTGAGGATGAGGTTCTCAGAAGGGCTCGATTTTAAAAGGAAGCAACAAAAAGCAAAAGCCTTTTCTTAATAGAAAAATCCCCATTACTCTGGAAATGTTAACAAGTCTCAGGGCAGCCCCAGGGTTATCTCCTGGGCTTGGATTCAATTAATGCAATTTGGATTCGGGATGAATTTAGCCAGGGAAGGATGATAAGGAATTACTGAGTGCTCCCCAGATTTATTAATTTCATCAAGCACGAGAACTCAGTGACTGCAGCTTCTCCATTTCTCTGTGAGGTGGCCAAGAGCAGCTCCCTGGCAGCTGAAAATATTGCAAAATATCCTTCCCAAGAAAGCTTCTGCTAAAGAAACAGCTTCTGCTTGTAAAGCCCCTTCATTCCTGCCTGGTTTTCTTGTTCTGAAGATTCCAAATGGAATCTGTAATTTTCCTTCCACCAGCCTTTCTCTTCCTCCTCTTAACTTCAAATCTTCGCTTTTTTTTTTTTTTTTTTTTTTTCTTTAAAATCGATTTTATTAATGAAAAGTATAATTTATGTGAACATTTCTATGAAACAGATCGATTTTTCCATTTGGGTTACCATTTGCTGGACACACAGCTGTGTTTGTAGGGAGAGATTGAAGCTCCACAATTAAAAAAAATAATAAATAAAGACAGAAACAAAACCCTAAATACAAACCCAGTTTTCTTACAGACTTTCTAATAAGCAGATGGGAATTAAATGAAACACTTATTAAGAATTCAATACTTTAAGTTATTGAAATTCTTCCCTGAAAAATTCTGAATAAATTACAGATTTCTGGGCAGAACTTACTGGGAAGTTTGGCGATTTTGGCACTGTAAATCAACCTAAATGCACTGTAAAGGTTTTTCTTAAAATGGCTTTTTTAACAGATGAAATTTGGACTGCCAGAACGATAATAAAAGGGTGGAGTGTCCGTTTGATAAAACCCCAGATATCTGATGACTACAGGAAGCAAAGATTTGGTGATAACAACTTTTTCACTGCCTTGCAGTTTCCACACCTTTCTTATAATTTCATTTTTTTCCCCCTTTTAAAAAAAACCCAAAAACCTTCCTCTTTAGCACCTCCAGCCTAATAAGCAGCAAAACCAGCACGGATTAAAATGAGAAAAGAATTATTAAATCTTAATTGGGAGTTCAGTTCTGCCCGCAGGATTTGAGTGAGGGTTTTAGAAAATTTAGAAAATCCCCCCCCCCCAGGAATTTTCACCTGGAGCACCCCAGGCCTGCTGCAGGATTTAGAGATTTTTGGATTTTGGACGGGAGGAAGTTGTCAGTGCCTGTGCTGAGAGGAAGAAGGAGGAAAAGGAGGAGAAGGAGGAGAAGGAGGAAAAGGAGAAGGAAAAGAAGGAAAAGAAGGAAGGAGGAGAAGCTCCCTGCTCGCTGCTCTGCTTTGTGTCTGCAGTGGGAATTAAAGAGAAGTCAAACAAAAGCTGCAGTTCCTGCTGCCATCCCGGCGGAATTGGTGCCTTCAAAGGGACATTTCTGCCCATTCACAACCCTCGTGTTGATAAGAAAAGCAAATAAAAGCTTAGAAAGAAAGAGACCTTAACAGCGATTTAATGATTCCAGTTTAGATTTAGTGGCAGCGCTGCCACGAGCTGCAAATCACCTCATTAACCCTTTAATTATTTAAAAAGTTCTTTAAGGTGCCAAAAACTTTCCAAACGCCCAGACCTTGGCTCCTCAAGGGAACCCTTTTAATAATCCAAAATTCACACTAGAATTAGAATTTTAAACACTTGCTACTCCAATAATTCCTAAAATGAACACACGTTCAAGTAACTGCTGGTTTATGAACCCACCCTGAAAACTGCCTGAGATTTCTTTAATTCAGTGAGGAAGGAATCACAACTGAATAAGAGAAAATCCAGGTAAACCAAGGAAAAGGAATTTCTGTGCTGGCCACAATTTTAATTCCAGCAGCTCCTGGTGCCTTTCCACATCCCCAACCTGACAATTAAAACCAATAATGAGCAGACACAAATGAATGAAGGTTGGGAAGACTTTTGGACTTTTTAATCTCTATAATCTTGGAAAATACTGATTGTTTTTATAATTTTATCATGGTTTGGGGAATTTATTGTAAATAATTACAAATACTTCCATTATTTACGTGTTACTGATATAAATTCACCCATGCTGTTATCAGATAGTTCAATAGGTGGCTGAAGAGATGGATTTGCAAGGTGAGCTTTTTATTTTAATTTCCCATGTAATTAAAAATTAATATTATGAAATCGAACAACAGCAATATTTTCACCTCAGCAGGCACCTGTAATATGTAAATAATGGAGTTTATCTTGCATGCACTGATAAATGAGGGAAATAAATTCTGTGGTGCAAAGGCTCATGTTTGAAAGTGTCTTTTGGAGCACCTCAGAGAAAAAACAAGGTGTGATAAGAGCAAAGCACAGCTCAAACTCTGAG